CCCCAGGGGATCCTACCCATCCGTTCCCAGAGGGAGTCGAAGTCTGCTTTCCTGAAGTCCAGGGTCCGTATCCTGCTGCTTACCTTTCTTCCCTGTGTCAGGATCCTGAACTCAACCAACTCATGGTTACTGCCTCCCAGATTCCCATCCACTTTTGCTTCCCCCACTAATTCTTCCCGGTTTGTGAGCAGCAGGTCAAGAAAAGCTCCCCCCTAGTTGGCTCCTCCAGCACTTGCACCAGGAAATTGTCCCCTGCGCTTTCCAAGGAGTTGGGAGCCTCCTTCGCTCCAGGCATACAGGAAACCGCAGGAAGATCTGAGACCCCACCAGGTGTCATGCTTGCAATTGCACCGCTCTGCTCTTCTGCAGCGCACTTTCCAAACCCCAGATTGCAACTGGGGAAACCGAGGCACAATGCAGGGTGGCAGCTTGCCCAGGGTCACAGAGAGAGGCAGAGCTGGGAACCCACACCTGCTAATATCCTATGCTCTGATGTAGCCACCAGGCTCCTCATCTCTCTCAGGGCGGGGAAGTCCCTGGACATGTGGCCTTGCGACTCACGGGCTTCTGAAAGGCTCTTACCGGCAGCGCTGCCTGTTGGCTCCATTGTGAAGCTCCCTGCTTGAGCGGTGCCCACCAAGCCCATATTAGGCCTGTTCTGTGGAAAGCCTGGCGCCTTCAGTGGACTTTCGAGAGTCGGGACGGGAGTGTGGTCTAGTGGTCAGAACACGCGGCCGGTAATCAGACTAGCACTGCAGATGACTCAGTGTGTGTCCTCTGTGAATCATTTCACTGCTCTTGGCCTCAGTTTCCCCATCTATACAGTGCGGATAACAGCCCTGCCTTGCCTCCCATGGGGGTCGGGAGCTAAATCCATCAAAGGCTGTGAGGTGTTCAGCTATTACCGTACTGGGTGCCGTATAAAGACCTTGGATAGATTTGCCCTTGATCCCACAGTGGGTCCGCAGCAGAGCTGGGGTCAGAACCCAGTGTCCAGACTCGCATTCCAGTGCCCCGTCCGCATGCTTCTTTCCCTTCCGTGCCCCTAGGAAAGCGGGGGGGGGGGGCATATTCAGCATTCAGCTCGCGCTGGGCTGTCCCCGGCTTCCCGGGGCAATTGGTGGCAGCTGTGTGGTTGGCTTCAGTGAGAGCGGGACCGGGGCCGTCATGTTCTGTGTTGGAAGGTTTTAACCTGCGGCAGCTGCCACCGGTAGCATGGGGGGCTCCCAGGCATTGCACTCGACACCTGCTGTCCGCTACATCGCTGCGAGACCTACCACTGAGTCAGCGCCCCACCCCACCCTGAGCACCCAGGCAGGCCCAAGGAATGAGGACACGGCCCCAGGTGACCCCTTGGTGCCAGTTACCAACAGGAATGGACCAGATCCTCCCCGAAGCCTGCTCTCTTCAACAGCCTTCCTGCCTGGCAGATTGCAGGGGCTGCACCCTGGAGTGGACAAGCTGCTGTTCAGGGGCGTAGCGATTTCCCTTGCTCCGGAGGAATTCGGAAGGAAGGGCTGAGGTCAGCTCCCTGCTGGCAGGAAATCGCTCCTTACTGTGCATCTGGCTGGCTCGCAGAACGCTGACATCGCTCAGGAGGGAGTGCTGGATTCAGTGAGGATTGACCATGGAGGGCCAGGGGGGAGCAGTCACTGGATGGTGGGAAAAGTGCTCTGTGCTTCCACGGCCCCTTCCACGCTCCCTGCAAACACCAGTCCAGCCCCGCCTGGCCTGTGCGCAGGGAAGGGCCGCAGGGTCAGGCTGAGAAGCGGCCCACGGAGGGAGCATGGGGGGAAGCCCCTGGCTTGGACGGAGCTGTCTCCAGAGGTGTCCATCCCGTCTGGGGCTCTGCAGCATAAGCTACAAGCAGCAGCCCGGTGGACGTAACTGACGAGCTCGGAGCCTCGCGCAGCCGGCGGGAAAGTCCTGTAGGCATGAGTCCTGTCCCCGTGTGACCTGCCCCATCAGCTGCATTGGAGTCTCCCTACTATCAGGGAGAATCGGGCCCATTGGCTGGGCAAGGTCCCCAGGATCAGGCTCTAATGCAGCAAACGGCTCAACCTGGAGGGAGCAAAGCAGCTCTGGCAGTTGCTTAGACCACCCGGGGCAGGCGCTTTGCTCCGGGTCACAGGGTGGCTCTTAGCAGTAATTAGCAGGGCCGACAGTGGCCCCTACAGGCTCTGATCAAGGCCCCCTTGTTAGGGCCCTACCCAATTCATGGCCCATTTTGGTAAATTTCACAGTCAGAGGATTTTTAAAATCTTGTATTTCATGGTTTCAGATATTTAAATCCCAAATGTCCCGGTGTTGTCCCCGTGGGGGTCCCGGCCTCCAGGGAGGAGGGGCTGCAAGGCGGTTGTGGAGGGGGGTGGGGGGGTCACGGTATTGCTACCCTTACCTCGCACGGCTGCTGGCGGCGACGCTGCCTTCAGAGCTGGGCGGCAGGGGAGTGGCAGCTGCTGGCCGGGAGCCCCGCTCCGAAGGCAGCGCAGAAGTAAGGGGGGAAGCCAGATTTCATGGCCCATGAGGCATTTTTCATGCTCATGAAGTTGGTAGGGCCCCACCCATTGTGCTAGGTGCTGCATAAACCGCAGAGACATGCCCTGCTCCCAATAGCTTAGGGTTTAAGGGCCTGATCCAGAGCCTATGGATATCAGTGGGAATCTAATCTTCCCACTAACCTCAGCTGGCTCATCGGCTGGGGTCAGTCAGCGGCTTGGACTCTGCAGGGCTGGAAAGGGAGGTCAAAGCCAGGCTCCAGGATGCCAGGGTTCTCGTCCGGCTCTGACACTTACTGGGGGGCAGATTGTGCTCCCCTGCTTGTGAGGGGAGGATCTGAGAAGCCCCCTCCTGCAGTTGGCACCTCTCAGGTGTAGATGGGTATGGTGGCAATCTGGGGTGCAAGGTGCCCCAAAGGGGATGGGACCATGGTGCACCAGTGCCAGGAAGAATAAGCTGGAGGGGTGTAGTAGTGGGTGGGCTCCCCTGGCATGCCTGGCAGCTCTCTGATGTGAGGCTGTGCTTGAACAGCATGAATGATAGAGCCCTGCTGGTCCTATGCAAGTGCCCGCCCTGCTCAATGCCTCAATTTCCCCTCCTGTAAAACGGGGTTCGTGGTAATGAGCCACCTTGGTAAAAATGCTTTGAGATCCTTGAACAAGTGGTGCTGTGGTGCCTCAAACTGGGTTTCAAGGGCCTGATTTGACATCCGTGGCAAAGCTCCCATTTGCTTCACTGGCCCAGAATTGGGCCCACCAGGGTGTATTGAGCCACGACGAGGGGCAGAGCTGTGGGTGGGCCACGCCCTTCCTTCTGGGACCAACAGGGGAGCCCGAGCCAGCTGCAACATTCCCAGACCCTCTCAAACGCCTCTTGTACCACCCGGCAAAGCCACCACCCAACCCAGGGTGTCCTGTGTCTCAGGTCTCATAGACTTTCCCTCCCTCCTGCACTCCTGAGAATGGCGATCTTGCCGCTCCAGGCAGCGGTTCCCTGGGCTCCCCTCTCGGCCCAGCGGCGGTGGCCCACCCTGCTTAATGAAACGCCAAAGGATTATTGACTCAGCCAGCCGGCCGGGCCGCAGCCCGACTCCCCTCGTGCAGCGTTAAACACCTCTGGTGCAAAGGATGTGAAACACCCCAGGCTCCAGGGTTAGAGCCTGTCAGCCAGTCAAGGAGCCAACGCCGCTTCACTGCAAATAGAAAAGCACCGAGTGTCTGCTCAGGCTGTTTGCTCCTCAGAAGCCCACTAGATGCTGGTGAAAAGATCTGTGCCTCCCCCAGACGTCCCACCTTTCAGTGTCACGACCTCCAGGCCCCAGCTCACCAAGAGGGATTGAACCGGGGTCGCAGCGCAGACTTGAGCTGAGAGTGCAGCACTAGTAGGTTGTTATTCTGTTTGCGAACTAGTTTTTAGCTGGAGACCCACCAAACCCTTTACACTTTACAAAAGTGATCCTCCCTCCTTCCCCCTGCATTTTGGCCAAAATTGGTTAGGTTTCTGTAGCAAACGGTTTGGATTGGGTTGGTTTTCAATGAACCACCCAAAAGGTGAAGCTGAAATTGGCATTTTTGGAAATGTTGCCATGCTGGTGGAAAAGGCCATTCCATTGGGGAAAACGGCTTTGTGAGAAATTTCGGGCCAGCTCCATCCTTTGGCAGAAAGGCCAGTCTTTGCTTTCAGTCATTCAATAAGGAGGGGAGAGAACGACATGTGACTTAGCTGAACAAGGCTCTTCCCACTTCTGGCCAGGAGCTCCACCCTCCCTTCCTTCCCCTTTCTGCTCTCCCATCACTGGGGGACGCAGGTGTCTTAGGGCATCTCTGATGCGGAGTCTCCATGGTTAAGCAGTAACTGACCCCCACCCCAGAGGAAGTTTAAGGAGACAGGGAGTAATTGTCCCAGCTGGCCATAGGGATAAGAGCATCTGTTTGAGATCCCATGTGGGCAGGACCTCAGTTTAATGCCTGATCCCAAAGAAGGGTTCCTCTGGCAGCACAGCGCCCCCTACCATCGTGCTGGGGGACAGACTCATTCCTGACACACAGCGAAGAGCGCCTGCCTCTAGTGACCCCCTGCGTTACGCTGGGTTCTCCTCCCGGCCGCATCCTGCCCTGCTCTGGCCCTCAGGCCCGAGCTTTGCAACGCGCGTTTCCAGCTATGGAGAGGCAGAGAGTGAGGGGTGTGGGCGAGGGACGGGGGACAAGCACTTGGCTGCATCAGGGCTGCCCCCCCATGTCACATGGCAGAAAGGAGGAGGCAGGGTCTCAGGACTCAGTGTCTGTACGACCACAGTTCTCCTGCCTCACTGGTCTGCGACTCAGGACACCTGAGTTCTGTGCCTGGCTCTCCTGCTGGGCTACTTGGTGACCTTGGGCGGGTCTCTTCCCCACTCTGTGCCTCAGTTTCCCCACCGGCAAAAAGGGGGGGCCATGAGACCAGCCTGTGTTGAGAGCCATGGATGATGAGAGCTAGGGGAGGTTGTTGTTATTTTCTTCCAGGTGACCGTTATATCGTGGCTGACTGCGGCGGTGGGACAGTGGATCTGACCGTCCACCAGATCGAGCAGCCGCAAGGGACGCTCAAAGAGCTCTACAAAGCCTCAGGTGGGATGGCGACCCCCGGGAGCCATGTGCCAAGGGCCCGATCCAGTGCCTGTTGGAGCCGGTGGAAAGACTCCCATGGTCTTTGGATCAGACCCCCAAATGCTCCCCCCCTCCCTCCCCAGCTAGCGGCTGACCCTCTGTATTGGGTGGAAGGATTGGAGCATCCATCTGTCACTGCTCCTGAGGGAAAAGCCTGTGGAGCAAAGTGCCCCGGGGCTGCCTCTCATCGGCCAGCATGGTGCCATGGGCCTTGGGGCACGGGTGTGTCTGGAGAGGGGCTCGGAGGAGGGGATGGTGGTGGCTGTACGGATCGGGTCAGGGAGCCAGGAGCAGAGGGAGCCACCTGGGGCTTCTCGCCTCCTGTGGGGAGATCCGCACCAGGAGTCCGGTCGGCTGCCATGCTCCCAGGGGGGAGCAGGGAGCTGGGGCCCTGGACCCCAGGAGGCAGCAGGGCTCCCTGTGGGAAGCCCGGGCGGCAACCCGGCTTGGAGTGGAGACCCAGCTCCAGAGTGGGAGCTGGCTTTCTTGTCAAGTTCAGGGCTCCAGAGGAGCCATGAAATAGACAAGAATGAGAGCCAACAGCTGATGTAAGGAAAACGGTGTCTACACAGACATGGCGTGGCCCTAACTCCAGTGACATAAGCCCTACGCTGCTCGGGGGGCGACGGCGACGGGGGGGTGTTATGATGTCAGAGTAAAACTGTGTAGTGTAGACAAGGCCTAAAACCCTGCGTCCCGCTGTCAGGAGCTACCGGTTCAGCTGGGGAGACAGCTTCTCCCAGGGACAGTTCCCCAGTGCCCCCCAGCATGCAGCTCCAGTCCCGCTCCCAGGCCCAGCGGCTCAGTAAAGTGAGGGGTTGTGGCACCATCTGGTGTCCAGAGGGAAACTAGCTATAGACTTCCGACTGGAGGATTGCTGGGGGCCTGCAGAGGTCCCCACCATGGGCAGCGATGCTGAGGAAGTGCAATGGCCTGGAGTCACGTTAAGCCACTTAAGAGAAGGGTGAGAGACAGCGCTGGGTTTCTATGGTAAAGTTTCCCAGTCACATGGCAGAAGGGTTCTGTGCAGTGAGGTTATTGAGAGGGGAGGGTCCGGGAGCATAGAAAAGACACCCCCCCCCCCCCCCGCCAGAATACAGGCCAAGCCTAGGGTGTCACACACCTGATCATGCTGAGGGGAAGGAGGTCGTCAGTAGCAGCTTTGCGTTCTGAGGGTTTTTCAAGCCCCTGCAAAAGCAGCGACCAAGTGATGCCAGAAAGCGCCAGACAAGCCCCAGGTGACCAGGGTTTATTGGGCCTACCGCGGCCCGACACGATGCAACCTAGGTTTGAGCACCATCTGCTGGCGCTTTGGCTAGTGGCTATTTCCAGCCTTGGCCATGAGGCCGGGCTGCTCCCTGCTGTCTAGTCCCAGGTCTAGCTCATTGCCATCGCCTCGAGCGAGAAGGCTGCGGCAAGGGCAGGGCCCCAGCACTGCTTTCACTGCAAATGAAGCCCTGGCTGCCGCACCTCCCGAGAGGCAGGGTCCAGCAGGCTGCACGTGTGGACTGTGAGCTGGGGAGTGCCTGGATCTAGCCCCAGCCCTGTTTTCTGTCTGCAGTGGATAGGTGCCACTGTGTGCCTCAGTTTCCCCCTGTGTGTGATGGGGAGTGATAATACTGACCCGTCTCCGTGAGCGTGGGGGGCAGATGATCATGAACTGGCATTGGCAGAGGGCTGGGGAGAAGGGGCTCAGCTCCCACCATGCTAGGGGCAGCATACAACTGCCAGAGGGATGGACACGCAGAGCATTGGTCGGCCAGGTTCACCAGGTAGCAGGTCCCCTGTCCTGCTGCAGGGGCAGAAGGGGAATGCGGTGGGGCGACCAGCCATTGCTTGAACTGTTGTTATTGGACTCCAGCTGGGCTCTAGGTCCTAGGGGCTCTTGGAGGGGAGGCCTGGGGCGCAGGTGAGGTGGGCTCGCTCCCCTGGGGAGGGGATATCTGTAGCCACGATGTGTCCAGCCTGGGGAGAGGCGGTTCCCGGAGAGGGCTGTCGCTGTGGGAGACGCTCTCTGCCAGGGGCGGGTTACAGGGCTCCATGCAGGAACGGCTGGCTGTGATGCCCTGCGCGGCCGTGCACATCGGCCGAGGCCATCAGCATGGGCGGCTTCCTGGCCCTATTGAGACCAGTGGGCACGTGGCCATAGACTTGGGTGGGGCCCGGACGAGTGTGGGAAAGCCCCAACAAAGAGGGGGCTGTGTGGGCTGTCTCCAAGGCTGGGGGGCAGCTACACTGCAGACTAAGCGGGCTGCCACTCAGCTGTGAGCCCGCGCCCCTGCTCCGTCCACACCCAAATCAGTCCGACTCGGGTTAGCAAGCGCTCAGGCCCAGGGGCCAAGAACCCTGCAGGGCAGGGGCGGCTCAGGGCCCGAGTCCTGCCGTGACACAGGCCCAAGCCCCATTGGTTTGCAGTGTGGCCGCGTTATCACGGCTGGGAGACCTGGGACCCCCCCCACTTGTAAACCCAGGGGTACAACACAGAGTGGCCGCTCGAGCGCAGGCTTGGAAACCCCACGACCCAAAGAGCCAGGCTTCATGTGCAGCGGAGCCAGCCCTGTACTGTGGGGCAGGGTGTGTAGGGCGTCCCCCCGGGGCCAGGGCCAGGGCAGTTGGACGAAAAGGGAACATTTGCTGAGCTGTGATGTGCAGCGTAGCTGACTCCCGTGCCTGTTGGGAGGGGAGCTGGGACCGATCCCCTCCCCAAGGGCTGTGCGCAGTGGACTGGGGTCGGGGGGGGGGCACCCTGAGGCAAACAGCGGCTGCCTACCCTGCAGCATGGGGGTTTCCTGCAGTGGGTCCCCACCAGCCGCTTTGGCCCGCTGGGTTTCCTTCCTCCCCAATCTCCTGCCCACCCACGTGCCCCCGACTCAGCGGGGAGCTGGGCACAGGGAGCTGGGCACAGGGAGCCATTTCCCTCCACTGAGCCCTGACCACTGCCCCTTCCCACGGAAACCAGCCCTGGATGCTGCGCCATGGGGGGACGGCTCCTTGCAGAGAGTTCCCCCTTCAGCCTTCCCCAGGATGGGGGGGGCTGAACCCTACCCACAAGCCCATGGAGCCCCAAGAGCTGGGTGAATGTGGGGGGCACCGGAGGTCCTGTGCATCTGGAGTGGACCCACGTACCACTTCCGGCTCCTTAGCCACATGGCTCCAATGGGTGCCCCGGGCTGGGCTAGCAGGGCAGCTCCGTGGGTTGGCTCTGAGGGGTTCCAGGGGTACCCTAGGACTGCGATAGCAGGGGGACTGTGAGTCAGGACCGAGGGGCACCGGCAGAGCTGTGGGGGGCCAGAGCTGGGAGCAGGCTGGAGGACCAGGGCAGGCTGTATGTCAGAACTAGCAGAGCTTGGCCAGCCCCTGCCCCTGCTATAAGCTGGCTCCCCCCAGTGCTATTAACACCTCAGTCCCATAAGCAGAAAATGCCTTCACCCCGACAAGCTCAGCCTCCAGCTGCGGCTTTGGGGAGCCCCGCTCTGCCCCCGTCCCAGCAGGGTGTCCATCACTCCCGGGGGCCTGTCCCTGCCCTGGCTCTGCCCGCACCCCATAACTCCGCAGTGGCTGTGCATTGCAGGCGGCCCCTATGGGGCAGTGGGGGTGGACCTGGCCTTCGAGAGGCTGCTGGGCCAGATCTTCGGGGAGGATTTCATCGCCACCTTCAAGGCCAAGCGCCCAGCAGCCTGGGTGGACCTGACCATCGCCTTCGAGGCCCGCAAGAGGGCCGCAGCGCCCTTCCGCTCCAACCCCCTCAACGTCTCGCTGCCCTTCTCCTTCATCGACTTCTACCGCAGGCACCGGGGCCAGAACGTGGAGACGGCGCTCAAGCGGAGCAGGTGAGGCAGGGGGCTGGGCGGGGCTGAGGTGTGCTTGGAACGCCCCCCCCAGTTGTGCCGGGAGGGGGGCCAGGAGCTTCGGATGAGATCTTGTGTCACATCCCCCTCTAGTGGCTAGTTCACATGGAAGACAACAGCCTACTACTGGTACCTGCTGATGGGGTCATGCCCTTCCCGCTAATGACAGAGGGCCATGCCTCTGGGCCCGGCCTGGGGGCTCAGCAACTAGGAAGTTACTCAGGCTGGTGGGGCATTTGGAAGGGGTGTGGACACCTTTCTTGGCCTCCCCCACCTGGCTGTTTGTGGGCACAAGGGCAGGAGATGGTGAGAGGTCGGACATGGCCCAGGGGCAGGAGGCAGAGGGTGCGGAAGCTGGCCCATCAGAGCCAGTGCCGGGGGGAGGCCAGGGTGGAGGCAGAGGTGCACCAAGGCAGGGCCAAGTAGCACTGAGGTGGTGGGCCACGTGGGGGACTGATTCTGGGCTTTTAGGGGCAGGACACCCACAGCCCCCATGGGTGCAATGGGGAGAGGGGGCAGGAGGACACAGCCCCCTCCCCGTTGCTCTCTGCAGCAGGCATGAGAGCGGGCAGCCCTGGCCAGCAGCCTCTGGGGGGCCGGGCACCACTTGGCCCTGCCTATGGGAGCCCAGGAGAGTCACTCCCCTCTGCTCTTGTGCCCCCAGTGTGAACTTTGTGAAGTGGTCCTCGCAGGGGATGCTGCGAATGTCGTCGGAGGCCATGAACGACCTCTTCCAGCCGACCGTCAGCCAGATCATCCAGCACATCGGTAGGGCTGAGCGAAGGGACCCTGGCTGCTACTTCCCTAACCACGGGGCCTGATCCAGCCTGGGGAGAGAGGAGCTCCCCCCCCCTCCCACCCCGGCTGCCCAAGGCCCTGCTGAGCGAGGGGCAGAGCTGGGAACCTCGGCTCCCTTGTTCCAGCCTTTCCCAGCTAGCTGTGCTCCAGCCCGAGTCCACACGCCAGTGTCATCTCCTGGGCTCCGACCAGGGCTATTCCCCTCGCTGGAGGCGGTGAGCCCCGAGGAGGGTCAGGGCTAGGGGAGGGGGGCAGTACCTAGGCAGATCCTTGACTCCAGTTCCCTGGGTCCATCCCGTGCCCGGTGCAGAGCCGCTCTCTGCGACGTGGGCCAGTGGGTTCAGACGCTCACCGCTGGCTCGGGTGATTACTTGGAGACTGTTCCAGAGCCTGACCAGGGCTCAGTTCCCAACTCTGCCACAGACTTCCTGGGTGACCTTTGGCTGCTCAGCTCTCTGTGCCTCAGTTTCCCAATCTATAAAACAGGGGGTGGTGATATACCTACCTCACCGGGGTGAGGCGAAATTTGCTAACATTTGTGAGATGCTCAGACACTGCAGCATGGAGGGGAGGGGGCCATAGGGGTACCTAGAGAGACTGTGTCCCACTATATACCTGGTACCACTCCTGGTTGCCTGGTCTGTTCCCCACCTGCACCAGTTCCAGAGATCTAACTCCTAGATGGATCCCTCCTAGGCCCTGAGCGTTTCAGCTGCTCATCTCTGACCGGCCCCCACTGCGTCAATATCTGACAATGTTGCTGCAGGACTGTGGGAAAGGGACTTTTCTCTCCCTGGCACCAGTTTCAGGGTTGACAAGTGTGAAGTAATGTGCCCTAGAACCCATAATCCCAACTAGTCATTCCCTGAAACATCTGGCATTGGCCACTGTCGGCAGACAGGACACTGGGCTAGATGGACCTTTGGTCTGACCCAGGTTGGCTGTTACTTATGCTTCTCCAGCCCAGAATTGCACTAGCCTTTGTGCCCTCCCAGGGACCTGATCTAACGTGCACAGGAGTCTCCGCTTCACAGACTCCAGCTCATTGCAAACTCCCACCTAAATTTGCTGCCCACTCTCCCCACTGCGTCTTTGCCTCGCTGCTTATCCAGCTCCCATCAGGGTCTGAGAGCTTCACCGTCTAATGGATTTGGCTGTAGGGCAGAGCTCTTATCCCCCCTGAACAGAGGACAAACTGAGGCACAGAGAGACACTGACCAACCCAAGGTCTTGCCCGCAGGACAATTTCCCCAGGGTTGTGGTTGAGATTCTTCACTGGGGCAATTTTTAACTCCAGCCAGGGTGATTTTCTGCCCGAGGTGCTCCAGTTCCAGCAGGTATTAATTCAGGGCAGGTCTCTGGCCGGGGTTACGGGGGAGGTCAAACTCTATGTGCACTATGGTCCCTTCTGGCCTATGAGTGAGACCAGGGAATTGAACCCTGAAGTCCTGGTCCTAGACTAGGGCCCAGTCCATCCTTCCCTTCAACCCCTGCAGTGCCCTCTCCCCGCCGAATAGCTTTGTTTTGGGTCATGACCCCCACCCCCACTCCATGGATTCACTGGGACTTTCCCCACCTAAATCCTATTGGATCAGCTCCTTTTGAGTCACTCTCCCCCCTCCCCAACTCCTCTATCGTGGTCCCTCACGGGCCGCTCCCCTGCTCTTCCCAGGAGTTAATGAAGATGTTAAGGCAGCCGGCCGCCCACCCAAACCCAGTCAGTAGCAGGGCCAGGTTCACTGTTTAACCCTCTTTTCCAGATGACCTCCTGAAGAAGCCAGACGTCAAAGGCATCAAGTTCCTCTTCCTGGTAGGGGGCTTTGCCGAGTCAGCAATGCTCCAGCACGCCGTCCAATCGGCCTTCGGCAGCCTGTGTCGCGTCATCATCCCCCAGGACGTCGGGCTGACTATCCTCAAAGGGGCGGTGCTCTTCGGCCTCGACCCCACCATCGTCAGGGTCAGGCGCTCACCCCTGACCTACGGCGTGGGGGTACTCAACAAATTTGTGGAGGGGAAGCACCCCAAGGAGAAGCTGCTGGTGAAGGAGGGGAAGAACTGGTGCACAGACATCTTTGAGAAGTTTGTCTCCGTGGACCAGTCGGTGGCTCTGGGCGAGGTGGTGCAGAGAAGCTACTGCCCGGCCAGGGTAGGGCAGCGGAAGATCATCATCAACATCTACTGCTGCGCCTCGGATGACGTGGTCTACATCACCGACCCGGGGGTGAGGAAGTGCGGCACCATCAGCCTGGAGCTGGACGAGCTGGACGAGCCGAGCTGCCTCAAGAGCCGCCGGCGGGAGATCCGGGCCAGCATGCAGTTCGGGGACACGGAGCTCAAGGTGGCAGCTATGGATGTCAGGACCTCCAAGACAGTCAGGGCTGCCATTGATTTCCTGTCCAATTGAGCCCCAAAGGAAGGGACAGCTCAGAGGCTGCGGGGGCGTGGGGCGTGTCTTCCACAACCATCTGCCCCTCTCCCCTGACAGCACATGCCTCGGTGCTCACATCCATGCGCGGTTCACACCACGAGATGCAGTCGCTTTGTATCCTCAGCAACAGCGATACCGGACTTGGAGGAGCTTTACGTTGCTAGGGAACAATGGTTCATTGACTCACAAACCTAATCAAGCCACGGGGAACCCATGGTCCTCGCTGGGACCCTGCCAGAGGTTGCGGTCAAGGTCCCTGCGCCAGACACACTCCATCAGAGGAGTCCTGAATTCACCTGAGGGCCGACGTGGCGTTGCTGTGTCACGAGGCTACCCTCCGCCACAGCAGGGTGATGAAGAAAATCTATCCTACGGGGACACGCCAAGGCAGCAGTGACCCTAAGAACATAAGAGCGGCCATACTGGGTCAGACCACTGGTCCATCTAGCCCAGTATCCTGCCTTCCAATGCCAAGTGCTTCAGAAGGAATGAACAGAACAGGTAATCATCAAGTGATCCACCTCCTAACTGAGTTTCCAGGAGCTCTAAGCCAGTAGCTACTTCACTTGAGCTGGACAATGTTGCCCGCAGCCTCTTTGAAGAGGGAGAAGGACCCTCTGTGTTCACAGAATTACAAGCCCTCTGCTCCTGTAGGACGAACGCTACAAGAGAAGGCCTCCTCCGGCTGCAAACCCTTCTTCCTCTTACTCAGAAACCGGATTTGGTTTTGGCTTGTTTTATCTTGGGGAAGATCCCCCTGGAGTGCGAGGCTCAAGCCAGTCAGACTCACAGTTCGGGTCTCAAAGGCCTCTCAAGAGTGCTCCTTAGCAGGATCTTCAGCAGGATGTCAGCCCAGCACCCAGGCACACGTGCATGTCTTGGCCAAGTAAACACAAAGCCAAGCTGGCAGCAAACGCAGCCTGGTGGCCAGCAGGAGGTGACGTGATAAAGTGGCTCTGTCTCCATGATGTCGGCATCAGTGCCTGGACGGTTTACTGGCATGAAGTTCAGAGAGCTCCCCGGCGGATGTTCTCCCAGTGACCTCTGCATGCAATGCAGCAAGCGGCACTCGCTCCTCCAGGGACTGAACCCAGTGGGAGCGCTCTGCCCTGGCATTCTGTGGGGTCACGCTCAGTCCAGGAGTACATCCAGCTCACCTGCGCTTGCCTCGCTGCTCCTGCACTGCAGTTCTGTACCCTGCTGGAGCTTGCCACTGGGCACAGAGCCGCAGGATTGGAGCTCTGGCCCCAGCTTTGGAACAGTCTCCAGGAGGAATCCTTCTGTGCCAGACCCCCTAAGGATCTCATTCTTCCTCCAGGGTGAGCCATGCTTCACCGCCTCCATAGGCCGGACCTCCGGGACCCCTCCTTCACCCCGTGAGCTCCACTCTGCGAGTCCCACTGAGACAGGCCCCCAGGGAGACTTGTACGATCCTAGGGAGCGACGCAGGGACACTCACAGAGTATGGGGATGCAGTGGGGTTTATTAGGTGACTGGAGAAGACATCCTGGGTTAGCATAAGGAAAAGAAAGTTGTAGCCCACTCCATCCTAGTCAGCTCAGAGCCTGGAGCCCTGACCCTCTGACCTCGCGTTGTCCCAGCTCAGGGGGGCCCCCATCTCCTGCAGCAGCCAACATTCAACTACCCCCCTGCACTCCTCCCGTCCTTTGTTCCCCAGCTGGGCAAACACTGTGTGGCTTCCTGCCGAGGGATGGGCCCTACATGGTCCTTGGTTGCCATTGTCTTCTCAGATGCTCCACTGATATGGGCCCTAAGGCCCCAGACAACTAGGAGCCATCCACATCCATAAGCTCTGCAAAGAGCAAGCAGACCTGTTCCCCCCACAGGTAACAATGCAGCATACAGGGGAAACTGAGGCACGCTGCGGCTTTCTAAAAATATTACAAAAATTCCCACTTCGCCACACCACCGGCCCCAGCTGACTAGCTTTGCTGGCTCGTTTGGCACCCGGGAGCTGCCTTAGTTGGCTAATGAATATTCTACTGGCCAGCTAGTCCCTACCCAGGAGTTAAAGGTCAGGAACCTTTTTCCTGGCCCTGCTCAGCCGAAGCGACCACAGACAGATCCCGTCAGGGCAGAAGAAGGGGGAGTTGCCGTGGTTGATACCAGTTGATCTGTAGATTACTGGCAGGCTGTGTGGCTGGGGACAAAGCAATGGTGACCGGTGACAAAGGCTCCTTTCGATAAATATATGTATTTTTTTGTAAACCCAAATTTTTATTTTTACATATCACGTGTAAACCCCCCCCCCAGGTCCAAGAGGCAAGCACTATGGCTGGATCTGTGGCACTAGTGAGGCAAGCGTGCGGCCTTTATCCGGTGTTTAAGAGAAGTATGCTATGTGATGGAAATCAAAATAAACGATTATACTCTTCTGCAGCTAAGGGAGGGGGAAAATGCTTTTGAGGGGGGGAATGGCGTTAAAGCAGTGGCGAGAGCAGGTCTGCTTTCGCCCTTGTGCCATGTTAGAAGAACTAAGTTGCCGTCTTCAAGCTGGAGCAGGTGTTCTTAACATGGGGGCTCACCAGTGGGTGTGAAGGAATCACACCCACACCACTCTTCCCATGCTGCAGAAGGGAAGGTGGGGCCCAGCTGAAGAAGAGAAGGATCATGTGGGAGAGAGTGGAGGCTCATTGTTTTAAGTTGGAATAAATGGGCCCAAAGGATCTCGGCACTAAAGTTTTAAACAAGGTTCGGGGTGGGGTGAAGAGAGACTTCAGCCCCTTGTCTGACAGGCTCCTAGGTGGGACCAAAGATGATGCTACCCCTCCGCTTGGGGAACAGAGAGGACATTAGCTGAGATGGGCTGGAGCAGTCACTGTTGTGGTTGTTGTTAAAGACCGAGCCGATTTGCTAAAAGACAAATACGTCCCCAGAGAGAAAAGAGCAGCCGAGAGAAAACACGGCGTCTGCCTCCGGTGCTGCCTTTCACTGGCGAGCTCACTGCTTGCGCAACCCAGGCCCAGCCCATGGTCTCATCAGCCACTGCGAGCCCTGGCAAACTCGTAGCAGCATCAGGCTAGCTAGGGACCTGCTTTTACTGCCTTTCTGGTCACAGGCTCACAGCTACGTTGCAAAATATAATCTTGGCCAGCTAAACCAAGCTCTGATTAGACAGAAGGAAACAGGAGAGGGATAGGAAATAAGGTGGGGAAAGAAAAAACACACCCGGGAGATGAGAGGAAGGGGGTTTGACAAAGTCTGACATCCCAGGTGGTGTTTGGGATTCAGACGGAGCCAGGGGAGGTGGTGGGGCCCTCTGGGTCCCGCACTTGGTCTGGTCAGGACGACGACACACAATGGTGAACCAGTGGGTCCTGGCTGTGCCACCATGATAGTAAAGCTCACGCCTTCCCATTCACCCGTCTCCTGGCCAGCAGTTGTCAGACAGCTGCTGCTTGATTTTTCTCCCACAAATGTGTTCCTTTCAAGTTCCCACACGGCCCTGATGGCAGGAGAGCCCGTCCCTTCATTATTTTGTCCAGCAATGAGGCCTAATTTCCCACACACCAATTTTGCTCCACTGATTTCTGGTCCCCAGTGTCTCTTGCATATGAGCCATAATGTTAACACAGTCCTTGAGTTACATCAGTGGGCCTTTTTAATTCACTTCTCCTGGCTCCCTTTTGTACCTTTTCCATTGGCATTTATTGGTCTAGGTCAGTGGTTCTCAACCCGCGGTCCAATCAGCACACAGCTGCGGCCCGTGTGACCTCCTCAGGGCCATACAGGGACTATAGACACCGTGCGGCTGCAGCCCACAGAACACACAGAGAGCTGCAGATGCGGCCTGCAATGGGAAATGGGTTGAGAAGCAGGATCTGGGACATTTTATGACCTTTCACTTGGTTCTTGCAGTGGAGCTCACCCGTAGGGTATATTTGGAGAACCAGTTAACACAACAGGTCCTAGCAAGGCAACACGTTGAGAACCACTGGCCATGGGGAAGCGGGTTTGAACTCAATTCACGGCATGTGGGGTTGAAGCTTTGGTCAAAGGCGAAGCTTTCGTTAGTCTGACAAGCCATCGTGAGTTGAACCCAGGACCCCTCCAGTGACTCAAAGGTACCTACAATGCCTGAGGAAGATGCACTGATGAGAACTCGGGGCAGCGGGCTGGGAGTTTGAATCCAGCCCAGGCCAGCAGTACCTGGCAAGTGATGGCTGGTTCTTCTCTATAGCCTATGCTCACAACACATCTGTGAAATATGAAGGACTCTGCTGGGGGAACACAGGGTGTGGCTACACGGCACACTAAGCCCAGACGTGGCCTCAGGTTTGAGTCTAAGCCCCCTTCCGTCCACACACAAGTTACTGACAGCTCAGCAACACACTTAGGACCCAGGTCCTACGCTGCTACTAGGAGGGTGGGTCAGAGCCAGAGTCCTGTTGTGATTCGGGCCCAAGCCCAGCCAGTTTCCAGTGTGGATGCAGCTCAAGCCGCAGCCCGAGTCAGAAGGTCGGCGTAGCACAATATGGATGCGTTAGCACAACTGTGAGACTGGGGCCCAGCACTCGTAAGGTTTACAAGTTTACAATGCAGTGTGGACGCTCAAGCGTAGGCTTGGAAACACTGAGTCCCCAAGCCTTGGTCCCACAGACCTGGGTTTACAGCACAGTGTGGCCACACCTAAAGCGGTTAAAGGACTTCCACAAGGTCACACCAGGAGTCCAGAGCAGAGCAGACGTTGAGCTGAGAGTCTTCTCAACCCAGCTGCGGTGCCTTAATCCCAAGAGCACGCTCTCTGCTCCCCTTGTTTGAAATCTGTCAAGTCAAACAAACAGCAGCGCTGCGGTAATTGGCTTGACAGACCAGCATGAGCTGTTCAAGGGCCGATGCTCTCTGCTGCTAAGCCATTAACCTGGTGTCTCTAATTTAACTCCCCGGCTCCACAGTGTGGACAGCCAGGGCTGCTGTAACATGGCACCGTGCAGTGAGGGTCTTTGGGGAGTTAGCCAAAGTGGGCGCTGTGTTCTCCCCTCTTTAGGTTTCGTTCCAAGCTGATTTAATCACTGCGCAAGTTGCCTTAGGGAAAGGAAAACCCTGCTGCCTCCAGTGATGCCTGCAATCTATAGACACAGTGAGTAGCAGCAGAAAGCAATTATCCAGTTAATGTCTGGAAGGCTTCCAAGAGGGCAGGGGAAGGGATTGATAGTGATTTCTGTGCCGGTGCATATTCCACGCTCCACCATCTATCTTCCTCTTTCCAGGTGGCGCATGGGCGTAGGACACCAGGTCTAAGTTATTGGCTGGCTGGATGAGCCAAACGGCAGCTGGAGAGGTTTCCAGAGCCGTGAGGCTCTGGTCGCTGACGGCGTCTCATTGGTATTTAATACGTAATTCAACTTCAACCCGAAACGTGTGATTTATTTGCAGAACAGTAGCCCCTTGGGGCCCCAACTGAGACGGGGGCTCCTCTGTGCTATTGTAAGAGACAGTCCCAGTCTCCAAGAACTTACAGACAAAATTGACAAGATACACACCGAGTGGGTGGGTGGAAAGCTCCAGGAATAGAGCCAGGTCCCCCAAGTCTAGGCTTGTCCCCTACCCACTAGCACACACTGCCACTCGGTAGGACTTGTGCTGCCTGGATTTCAAGGCCAGAGGGGACAAGTACGCTCATCGTGTCATTTCAATTCTATTCCTTTTTCAGCTAGAAAATTGGTTAGTTTCCTTCGACCGCACTCAGTAGTCACGTGTTTTCTGACCGTTTTCCAACTCAAGGCTGCTCACTGAACGTTCCCGCCCGCTAGTGGTGGTTGGCTCACCTCTGGCACATGGTAATGTTTCTATTCCATGATTGGATGAGATGCGTTTTTGGCACAGGAATGTAACAAACAGCACATGTATCCATGACACTTTGGGGGTGTCCAGCTCCGAGTCTGGTCGCAGGAACTAGATCATGCCTCATCCCAACCAAGGATCCCCTCGCCATGCCAGCTTTGCTCCTGGCCAGGGACAGTGGTTCACGGGCATGTCCTTGCTAAGCAGCTGTCTCAAATCCCCCTGCCAGGAAGGCAAGCAGGCCGGATAACGTTAAATGGAAAAGCTTTATGGCATGTTGCACACAAGCCCAGGCAGACTGTGTAACACAGACACCCCACAAGCATATCTTGATCCTCGGCATGTGTCCAGACCAGCACTGGAGATGTGTTCATTCGGCAGCCATGGCAGTTGGCCATAAAGTGGAGGAAGGAGACAAGCATTTCTGCAGCCCAGAGACAGGATCAGGTGGGACGTGACACATCTGAAGCCCTGCCCCCTTTCATTAAACTACCCAATCCCACTGTGGCCGTGACTAAGCTGAAGGATGCTCCTTCTGCGCTGTGCCGTACTTCTGAGCTCAGGTTTCCTACGCAAACTGTCACAGCCCGGGGTGGCAGTGTTAGACGCCCATTGCGAGCACATTTCATGTTCTAACAACCGACCCACCTTATATAAAAATAAGCTGTTAACCTGGCCCACGAGATTCTTCCCCACGATTGTGGCGGAATCCCTGCTCTTCACATTCTCCAGGCCCGTGTTCCCACCAGGTGAGGTCCTACTCCACAAGGTCAGCATGAAAGGGTCCGGTCCTTGTGCTTTTGCTTGGAGAAGACAAAGAATCTTAAAAGTCCTCACCCACGAAACACTGCTCATCTGAGTTTCGGATCACTGAGGTTGTTTGGGCCGGGGTGGGGCTGGTCGGAGAGGGCCCCGTGCAGAAGGGTTTGCTGTGACAAGGATGTAGCCATGAGGTTCTGTTCACTCCTCTCCAACACTATGTGTTGAATTGCATCCTCATAGCAAGCCCATCCCTGTGGTATCTGACTCTGAGCAGCTGGCCACTATCCCTCAAGCAACTCACTCTCTGAATGAATCTGAAGTGAATGGCATCTCTGAAAAGGGAAACACGAGTGTCCCCACCCCATCAAATCCCTCTTTAACTCTCATTTGCTGTGATGCCAACAATAACCTTAACACGCGACATAGCTGGTGTGTTGCACAACAACTGTCTGGACTGCCGGCCTTGTGCTCGCATTCTGTCTGGCTCTACCAGCTCTCTCTTGTCTTATACTTAGACCATGGGTGGGCAAACTTTTTGGCCCAAGGGCCACATCTGTGTGGGGCAATTGCATGCAGGGCCATGAATGTAGGCGCAGGTTGGGGTGTGGGAGGGAGTGTGGGGTGTAGGAAGGGGCTCAGGGCAAAGGGTTGGGGTGCAGAAGGGGTGCAGAGTACAGAAGGGGGCTCAGGGCAGGAATTTGGGGTGCGGGCTCCAGCCCGGCGTTGCTTACCTTGAGCGGCTCCGGGGTGGCAGCGACGTGCAGCAGGGCTAAGGCAGGCTCCCTGCCTGCCCTGGCCCAGTGCCACTCCCAGAAGCAGCCGGCACCACGTCC